TAACATTACATATAATTTTTGATAATGGATTTGTGACGACACTGCTACCTAAAAGTGTTAACAAAATCATACCTACCTATTTAATATAACAAGATTTTTTTTAATGAGATTCCAAGCATTTTTTTTATTTTTTGCTTGTTTTTTATTATATTTTAGGTCATTTCATAAAACCTTTTCATGTTTTACGTTTTAATATGCACAGGGTGTTCCAAAAATGGGAGTTATTTTAAGTATAAAACATTTTGTTTTATACTAAAAAGTTGGTTTAACCAACTTTTAGGTTATTATGTTTTACCTTACGTAATCAATTTGAAATGTCAAAAACCTGTTTTTCGACTTAAGTCCGGCATACATCCACATACGTATACAAAGAAAACAGCAAATTGTAATGACTTTGCTTGGTTCACAAATTAATGACGCAATGTATAACATTCGCAGAGACTACTATTTTATTATTTCTTATTGGACAAGCGTCGCCTCACTAATTTTAGAAAGGTTTACCCCTCGTTCATTTATGTATTTTATTATAAAAAATTTCAACTTAATCAAATAAAAATTATCAAAATGACACTTAAATCAACCGCGCGTGTCAAGTTGACACACACTGTTCAAAATTTTAGCTAATTTTTACCTAAAATATTAGACTATATAGGACCATTGATTTTTTAAGGCAAACTGCCTGAAATGAATTCAGAGGAATATTCCCCTTTTAAATTAGTGAATTCTTTAACTGATATTTTTAAAGAAAATGATACAATTAATTAAGCAAAATTACTTAGGTTTCAAAGATGATACACCTTGGATCGTAAGGGATATTGCCTGAGAATAAAATAATAAATTTCCTGTTTCTAAGGCAATTTGCTTAAATTTTTAGGTAATTATATATATTTTTAATGAAAATCCTCTTATTTTTCACGGTAAATTTTTCTAATGTTTTTAGATATACCCTTTTTTCGGGTAATTTTCTACCAATTTTTTAGTGAAATTCTACTAACTTTCTAGTAAAATTTTACTTATTTTTTAGTGAAATTCTACTATTTCATTAAATAAAAATATAAGGGGAACAAGAATTGGCGGTGGGGGCATTTAGGAGAGAAGATATTTATATTGTCATTTTTATTCTCACGCATTGCTTTGATAATATACTATTTTGGAAATATACTATTGTAAATGTTAAATATTATTGTAAAAAGTTACCGATAACCTAGTAATGTTTATCCCTATATCGAGCAATGTAAATGAGAAAAGAATGACATTATAAATCCCCCTTTTAAGTGCTGATGGGTAAAATAAAAAATACATTTATTTTAGTTAAATTGAAAATGTATATTAATAAATATGTATAAATAAAAAAAAATAAAAGTAACAAAAACGACAATAAAACTTATAGGTATACCTACTTTATAAGTTTAATAAAGTTTCTTTTGGCATAGGAATTTTCTTCCAAGTTAGGACTCCTTTATCTTTATGTCCTAGGCGAATTAACAACGGCGGTTCCGGTACTACAGGGTTGGGATTATTTAAAAATAAATTGGGGTCAATGGAAAATTCCATTTAGTTTGGATTACTTAACTATAGCACTTCAAAATGTTCACTTATAGCACAATATTTGTTAACTGTTGTTATATCAATAGCACACAACGCGGTCTTTACGTTTTCGTTGATTTTGGCATTCTGGTGGACAATATAAGCGCGAATATTTATCGTAAAACGTCGGTATTAGCGATCGTAGCTGATTGCAAGTAAGTCACTAATATTTAAAGGAATTTACCTAAATTAGTTCAATAATTTGCCATAATAATTTAGAAGAATTACCTAAATTAAAAGCAAAATTGTCGTACCTAAAAGTTATTGAGATTTTGACTAAATATTTAGGTAATCTGCTTATCTTTTTAAATTTGAGAAGTTTATTAAGTAAAGTATGAATATTTATCTAGAAGTTAGTAAATACACCATAGAACAAAGGCATTAGTTTCTGCCTAATAAACGAGAAGGTAAATTGCTTTACTCGTTTAAGCATATTACCTTATTTTTTCTTAACTAATTCTGATTAGGTATTTCAAAAGGCTTGATTTTGAACAGTGCAACAGTACCTAATTAATACATTAATACATACATGTACATGTTTAATCATCCAATTTCTTCTAGAAAATCATATTTGTAATTTTTTTAATTTTATTTTAGCAGTGACTCATACAAAAACGTTTTGTTTTTTTTAACATTTTGTTAAACATTGTCATTGTTTTTTATTTTAAAACTTGTATAAATATATATTTTAATTCATTACTTTTCACAGAATTTAATATTGACACGCCCGGTTCTTTTAAGTTCCATTACCTAAAATTTTTGTATATTTCATTCAAATTTAACAAAAGTTGTTTGCTTAAAGGCATGTTAAATTTTAAAAATTGACACATTTTGTATAAAAAAACGATTTTATTTCGTTAAAACATGATTTGAGGAAAACAACTTTATGAATGTGTATATTTTTTTGTTTTATAATTACGACCCATAGGAACATTACCAATGATCCTTGATTAAAGTATTTCATTAAAACAATATACATATATGCGAGTTTAAACGTTAGCATATGAAAAAAAACGTTTTTTCACAATATCTTGAGAACAAGAGCTAATAAAACAAAATGGTGCCCATTTTTTATAATTTTTAAAATCGCACCAAAATTATCCCGGCTTTTGAACAGTGTTTTAAAAAATATTTATTTTTCTTTTATAAATATAAGGGTGATTCTACAAAAGTTGGACAACTTGATGTCATCAGTCAATAGAGTAGGTATTTTAATATTTTTGTAGTATATTACAAAAGATCCAGGTTTTTTTAACTTGTCCATACAATTTTAATGTATTTTTTCAAAAGCACGTTTGTAGAAAAACATAATAAATATTCAAAACATCAGTACCTTGGCGTGTCACAACTCCTGAATCAAATATTTGAGTGAATTTATTTTAAAATATATTCAATTTATCTTAATTTTTTTAATTTCACTACAAACTATAAAACATTAAATAATGTATTTTTCATATTTTATCATAGATTCGAATAATAGCAATTTTTAAAAAAATTTTAATCTTTGTACCCACTTTACACGTCAGTTCTGTGTCCAATGTTAAATTTCAAAATTTTAAACGTCAAGTCCTCGTTTTAACTCAAGTGTTGGTAAAAAATTACCTACAGAGCCCGCCCTTTTCACAGTCATCTTGAAAACAATGCAAGCGGCGAAGTTGTGGTGAATGCACGTATAGTTCCAGTAAAAATTTCAGTACTGTGGTGAGTAGTTATTTTCATATTTCATTGAAATTTATATAAGGCTATATGTGATTTCTTGATAAGTAGCATTCACTAATAAAAAATATCAGTAAAATACTTAATTCTGAATTATAATCTAAATTTGTATCCCATTCATCAGTACCGTGTCGTCAGTTCCATGTTCGATGTTTCGGTTATTTTTTTTCGCAAACTTTAATATAAATTCTGCTTGCGCAGAACTTGTTTATTTAATGTTATTATAAACTCATATAAATTTGGTGTGGGTCCCATATCTAATAATTGAGATATCGGTATACCCAAAATCCACCAGCCGCCACTGATGTGTGGTATTATTTGATTTTAAGATATTTAATGTATAATATGCTTAAAGTTGCAATAAATCTTATATTTTCCAATAAATTATGTATTTAACTAGTACCCTGGTATACTCGTCACTTTCCTTGCATTCAAATTTAGAAAACACATATATTTCAGAAACTGTTTGAAAAAGTGACTGGTCCGGTCTGGAACAGTATATTTATTATATTATCTATGTTCTTATAACAAAATACTCTTTAATTTTCTCCGAAAACTATATAAACAAAATAAGGTCAAAAGTTGCCCAACTTTTGTAGAATCACCCATAAATAAATTGTCTTAAAACCTGTACATATTAAGAATAAAATTTAATTTTAAAAAACTACTATATTTTGTCACCCAGTAAGTGTATTTTAGAGACCCATATTATATGGGCCATATATATATTAATACTAAAATTATAACAATATGAAATTAATTAAATATTTAATAGTAAATAATTATGCACAAAGACTTGTGTCTATAGAAAAGTTAATAAACGGGTTGCATACTATTCTTTTTTAACAACAAATATTATTAATAAAAATTTTGATTTTTACAGAAAAATTATACAAAGTGACATTTAAAAAAATTTTTATTCTAATTAGAAAAAATAATTTTTAAAATGTCACTTTGTATAATTTTTCTGTAAAAATCAAAATTTTTCCCTTGAAAATGGACCAACAACAGTTTAAATCCGATATACAAGGTGGTGCAAAAGTCATCACCCGATTTCCTAAGGTTTTAATTTTTTTGAAAATGACCACCCAAAAATTATTAGTGCTTTTTAGGCAAATACTAGTTTGCTGCCGACAAACACAAAAGTGCTTATAAACTTTTTAAAGATTGGGGTCAATAAACTATTTAATTATTTTGTATTATTTTATTGTGATTATAAAATAATTTCCAAATTGTAGTATTAAGTATTTTATGACATTTGACAACTAACTTAGGCCTGTGACTAAAAATCCTGTAAGCCACTGCTGCTAACTTTAGTCCGTGACATGAACGCCATAAATTCGCATGTGTTACTAACATAAGATCACTAAGTGTCATGTAAACATGTACGATAATGGGCGTTTAATAGGTGGGAGTAAAAAAAAATAGTTTCTAATTTTTAATCGAAACGATGTACTGTTGCAAAAGATAAATAATAGAAGGAGACCATTAAATTATCTTCGGTAGATTTTTTATAATTTACATAAACTTTATTATACAAGATTAGAAAATATTGCTGATAAAATTTAGAGTAGGTTGAAGGGTATTAAATTCAACATTGGTTGGTTTTAAACAATACCAAGCATTCCAACGTTTAATGGCCTTTATCAAATAAACAAAAATCCTATAAAACCACGAATGCGTGTTAAAGTACTTACCATTATGAGTATGATCAATATTAAGATGAATGGTTGGGATTTCCTGAAAACAAAACATTTGATATTAGACATTTTCGAACACAAAGAAAGAAATAACATTTAAAATATTGCAAACTACAAATAAAATATTTAAACAACCCATTATCTTTTATCTAAATTATGAATGCGCGGTCTTAAACGTAAGGACCTAAAAAATTAATTAAAATTTACTAACAATACATCAACCTAAACGATTAACAAATAACTGTTAGCATTAGTAACACCTCTAAAGATATATTGATTTCCTTACAAAAGAACACAAACTTTATGAATGTTATGCGTGTAAGTTATTATTAAATAGGACATATCTGCATACATAATATGGGAACACAAAACAAATTTGATTTATAAGTCGTTTGATTGCTTAGCATAAAACATTTTTTAGGAATATAAATTTTATTTTTATTGGACTACTGTGATCGGTAAAACTAATCCCCTTTAACTGTTTTGATTTGTAATTTAAAAAAATTTACTAAATCTATAAATATATTGTCGCTGTAGGTATGTGTGGACATTGAAATAATCTACTGTTAAGTGTTCATGCATTGAACATTTGATATTGTGTCTGTTTCTGACAACGACATTTGTTGTTTGTAATAAAATTAAATTCTAGTACCAAACAACAACAATAATTTATTTAAAAATTAAAACATACCAATATAAACATAAATCCATTTGCTGTACACGTTAAAGAGATACACTGCAAACTAAAATATTAACATGTTCGTATGACTGAATTTTTGAGATTCAAATACTAAAAAATATTAATTGCCAGCATCAAGTACTTTGATGTTTCTTTCTTTAACAATTCTAGACCACTTAGTCGAGTTATTTAGCAGTTTTGTGTCGCCAATACTAAAACTATAATTTAAAATTAATGATTTACTTACATAAAAAAACATCCCACATTTTAGTATTAAATACATAAATCGCATAAAACTACATTCAACCGCTCATTGATACTCTCGATAAAACAATAGGAGTAACAGTTTTTTCCTTATCTAAATTAATTTACAATTATCTTATTGGAGATTAAATTTTTTAAATTTATGTTTATTATTAAAATTCCGGAAGAAAAAATACAGATTAGTGCAATAACAAGATAAATGCATTTTATTGGAGTTAATCAATAACTTAAAATTCTATAGAAACCAAATTGCCTATAAAAAAGGTTTTAGTATATTTAATATATTATATTTAGATTATTAGACATAGTTTTATTATGATTCATTTAAGATTGGGCAACAGCTTACATAGGTTTACATATTTAAGATAATTTTTGTATATTTATAGTGTGTGTAAAAAGTATAAAATTTTCTTAGGTAATTAATATATTTTAATAGTATATAGTATATAGTATATATATTTTTTTTAATAGTTTAAAAAATATTTATGTTTTAGTATTTTGGATTCTTCTGCCATTTTGAAAGTATTTTTTATTACAATAAAAATAAATGAACTTTATAATATAATATAAATAATAACCATTTATATATATAGGTTTATATCCATATATATATATACATATATACAGCTTACATAGGATTACATATTTAAGATAATTTTTGTATATTTATAGTGTGTGTAAAAAGTATAAAATTTTCTTAATTAATATATTTTAATAGTATATAGTATATATAATTTTTTTAATAGTTTAAAAAATATTTATGTTTTAATATTTTGGATTCTTCTGCCATTTTGAAAGTATTGTTTACATATTTACAATATAAATAAATGAACTTTAATTTTAAATCGTATTGAATAACTGTTTAATATAAATTATAACCATTTATATATATAGGTATATATATATATATATATATATAAATATATACAGGGTGTTCCACGCTTACATAGGACATGTTTGAAAGCTTATTAAACCTTTTTTGTTTTGCTTTCTTTAAATGTTTAAAATTCAATTTCACTGCTGTCAATCAACTAAAATTAAAACAAGTACACCGTTGGATTCAGAATTAAATGCGCTTTCCAACGATGTGTAACTCGACCCCTTATGCTAAGATTCTTGAAGGGGTTGCTCCCTGGGTTGAGTTTAGAATAGTAAATAGTCCCCCCTGTAGTAGAAATTGACGTATTTTAGGATTGTTTATGAAACCTTTTAGTTCAAAAGTTTCGGGGGGGAGAGCAAATTTTATGTGGAACACCCTGTATATATATTGAACATATTTTAAATATGCCTGAGGAAGTAAATATTAAATTAATGAAAAAACTGATAACATAACAGAAGGGTAACTGAAATCAATAAAACCATATTATAACTTAAGGTCCGAACGTATTTCTTTATAAAGTTATATAGTGGATTTTTATTAAACACATCACATCAACATTTCATAAACTACTTAAATGAGATCTTTAAGGGGTATATAAAAGTGATATAAATATTTCTGTAACCAAATTAAGAAATTTTGGTTTTATAATTTTGGTGATATAATAGCTATAAAAACAGAATGGTTTTTATGCTTAATTTTAAAAAAATAATTTAGGTTATCCGCTCCTGACCATAATTATTCCAGGGGAACAAATTTTATTTTTTTCTCGAAAATTTAATAAAATGCAGGAGACAAAAAAGTTGTATATTTAACTGCTTAATCTTAAAATATTATTTAACTTAAAAATATGGTTGAAAAGTTTAATTAAGTAAATTCGGCCAAAAAATATTTTTTTTAAATAAATATTTTTTAATAACGTTACCAACCTGTATCCTTAAAACAAAGCTTTAAAACATACAAGTTCATATAAATTTTATGTTTACCAGTTTTATCGACTACCTACTAAATTTTCCCGATTAAAACCCTGCATATATGCAGGGTATAGTATAGGGTTTGCAGGGTATAGTATACTATCTATTAGATACAATGACAGCACAACTAATCCATTTTATTTATATTTGCATTAAAAATATCACTTTGTCAAGCCAACATTATTAAATACCTATTAAATATGATCTACATAACACTAACAATTAATATTGTTAACTGTTTTAATAGTCACGGTGCAGAGAAAATTAGTCTATTAAATATACTGACTGGTCAATAAATTTATGGTCGGCCGTTAATAACTCGGGGAAAGCTTTGGAAAGGCCTGAAAACTTTTTGCAGAGCAAAAAAAAATTTACGCATGGTAACTCTTTTAATAACCTGAAATAAAAAACTACACGGCAGTAAATTGGGGACAGCTTTGATATTTATGTGGGCGCTTTTGTGGATAGTTGTGATGCTCAAACTTATATATTTACTAAATATTATTTAGCCTAAGTATGCAACTATTGCTCCACTGTAGAGTAGTCATTACAAAACAAACTGAAAAAATACAAAAACGTTGTAAATGTGTCTTCTTAGTACAAACTTAAAATTACTGGAAAATATGATAGACAAAAACAAAGGGTAGGTATGAATAATTAGATTTAAGGTTTTTATTAGGACGTAGAGTGGGTGGTGAGGGGTGAGAGGGTGTGAATTTTCCCATATAATATATTTCCAATGAAAGGAAAAGCAATTTGGGTGATTTAAAAAAAAAATTACTTTTCAATAATCATTAGTTAAAGTTTGTTAAAGATACGAAAGTGAATTCGAATCCTTGAAACTAGTATTTTTTTCTATAGATTTAGATCTAGATTGCACTGTTTAACTTTGGCTCCCCAATTTTAGGACACCCTGTATATAAGCAGTCGGAGATTTTAATTTTGAAAAATAATCCAATTAATCAAACGGATTTCTTTACATATAAAAATTCAAATTTTGACAAAGTCGGAATTTTAATGAAAATCACCCCCCTACGTCTCTGATTGCACCTGCATAAAGCAAGAGTTTACTTGTTTAGTATACTAATCATTAAAATCGTTTCCAAACTTTTAGTATATTTATATTTATTTATATTTATTACATATTTAATAAAATATAAAATATTACAGTTTCAATACAGAACTGGCCAAATTTCTCGTCACAGTGCTTTTGTTTCGAGTGTGCTACTCAATAAGGCACCGACAGACAGCCTGTTTCGGTCTTGTTATACCTCATCAGTGCCGGATAGCCGTGTTGTGTAAGCACGCTCGAAACACACTGCCGAGAACCTTACATAGGCAAACAAGAACAGCGACAGCGGTGAGATGTAATCAGCCACCGTCCAAATGGCCAGTTCTCACAATATAGACCTTAATTAAAAAAACATTTTTTAAAACAGTTTTAATTTAATTTAAAATTAATGCCGTAATATTTCGAATTTATAACTTCCCCACGGAATAGGTATTAATAGTTATTCAAATGTTTAGTAATGTTTATTATTCAGTCCGTATACTATTACAAAGTATGTTTTGGTTTTAGTTATCAGTGCTCAAGTTTTAAGAAATTTGTTCCAAAGTATAGGTAGCAATGAGAACTTTTTTCTGTTGAGACCTCGAAAGCTTTAGGAAGCCCTTAGGACGACTGTATTTCACACACCAAAGAGCCTTTTGTTTGCATAACTTGCTGAAGTGGTTTTATTTATTTGACAAAAAAGTGTATTTAGTTTTTAAGTTTGTTTATCGACGTATATTTAGGGGACCACATCCCCTTTTATGGCCAAAAATTCACATTTAAAATGGATTTTACTTTGCATATATCTCGCTGTGTGACTATTCAAGTTGGCAAACAGTATTACACTATTTGTCCATTATTGGTTCGTTTGGTTATATTTTAGTATTAACCTGTTACCCATTTGAAGTTGAATGCTTGGTATGCAAGTACAATAATGTTCAAGGCATACACATATTTACAGAAGAGATGCTACAAAATTTTCAGGTTATCTGCCGTGGGAGTTCATTGACTGAAAAGGCAATAGACTTAAAAATAAATAAAGTTTAACATAGGTACAACAGTTATTAAATAAAAGAATAGTACCCGCATACGGTGAAAATTAAATAAATGCGTTAGCTTCTTCAAGATTAAAATTGTTTGAATTGGGATTGGATTCTATTTTTGTCTAGGAAAAAGTGTTTTTAAAAAACATGCA